TTCTTTGTTGGTATAGGTTTAGTTGTACCAGGCTACATACAACTTATTTCTTAATATTTTTGTTTCATTGAGTACTTTTTCTTATTTCATTAGGTTTAATATTCATTTATTACTGGCACCGACTCCAAAAAACAATAGGTAGGTATATAAGTATAACTATTTTAAGATATTTAGATGGTTTAACTTTAATTACTTTGATATAGTTTAGAAAAATTATAGTATTAGGTAATAGGTATTAGGAATTATTTTTTAATTTTTAGTTTTTTTTTGTGTTCTCGCATTTGAAGTCGGTTTTATTTTTTTTAAAAAGTTAATTATTTTATTTTAAAATTTTTAGTGTTACTTTTTTGTAGATACCCTTAGTGCATTTAATATGGGTAGGCCTACTAAACGCGCAGCCTTAATGAGATATCTCGTAACAACTAACGTTCTATTCTTGGGGGTGAAATATAAAAAATAATCGTTCAAATTCCACCCTTGACGGTTGAAATATTTTCTTCAAATTCGCATGAAACCACCCTTTTGATAATACCTATTCAACAAAAAAATAATCGTTCAAATTGGTTCATAATTGGCGGAGATATTGCGTATAAAAAATTTCATCCCCAATTTTCCACCCTTGGGGGTTGAAATATTTTCTTCAAATTCGCATGAAACCATCCTTTTGATAATACCTATTCAACAAAAAAATAATAGTTCAAATTGGTTCATAATCGGCGGAGATATTGCGTATAAAAAAGTTCATCCCCCAATTTTCCACCCTTGGGGGTGAAATATTTTCTTCAAATTCGCATGAAACCACCCTTTTGATAATACCTATTCAATAAAAAAATAATCGTTCAAATTGGTTTAAAATCGGCGGAGTTATTGCGTATATATAAATTCATCCCCTATTTTCCACCCTTGGGGGTTGTTATTTTTATTAGTAAATTTAAATGGGACCAACCTTGAGGTATTACCTATACGCCGAAAAAAGAATTTTTCAAATCGGTTCATAATTGGCGGAGTAATCGCGTAACAAATATAGAAAAAAAAAAAAAAAACATACGGGTCGAATTGAGAACCTCCTCCTTTTTTTGAAGTCGGTTAAAAATATTATTATAATAATCTTGATACTGAATGCTGACCGTTAGGTAAGGTTGTACTTAACTTTTTGTACCGCAAACCTTGAAAATTATTTAGAGGTTCTGTACAATTTTATTTGCGGTCATTGTGGAAGATCTTTCTAATCGACGGACGGACAGACTTCAGTAGTAGTTGTGCCGCGACGCCGCGCGACTGTCGATTCTGTCCGCGCTTAAAAACTGCGATAAAGAAAAATATTTCTGTGATAAAATACCTAATGTGTGCGTGATTACAACAAGTATTTATAATATTTTGTGCCATTTTTAATTTCATTACCGACGACCATAAATTGTGCGTGAAAAAAGCACGAGAAAAAAGAAAAACAACTGGACTGTGACTTCGCATGTGTGCAAATTGAAAACACAATAATATCTCTTCACTTTCATGGAGTTATAAGTGTCTGCAGGAGGCTAAAAATAATTATGTATTTTTAAAAGGAAAGATAATGAACGCCTAGTTTTTAATCAAGGCGATAAGCGTAGGCTTTAAAAATTGCCGTATCAGTCGAACAAATTTTAGCGAATAGAATGGATAAAGTTAATATTTCTCGTAGGCAATGACCTAGTCTGTCTGTATAGCTATTTAGTATGTGTACATATCTTAAACTATTCGAGACCCGCTGCAGTTACATTGTTAACGATTGTTTTTCACCTTGCAATGACTTCTTAAATGGCAGGAACACGCAACTATTTTCATTAACTCTTCGTCTATTAATTCATTCAACATTTTCTTTACTAAATATTCAAAGAACACTTCACGAACATTTTCTATCAACACCGTACTGAATAGGAACTCAATAACTAGCTTGCTTACTAAAATCGGAGACGATGTTAGTATTCGGTTCTTCAGTAACCAACGAGGCCGAAACCAAATCTTTTTCAAAAAGAAATTGCAGCATATGAGTATACATAACAAAAGACCGTGTTACAGTCAGAAGTCTAGACCGACTTACACTACACAAATGCTACAATGGCTTCACTTACCTCACTGTTCAAAGGTAAATACTAAATGTAAACGGTAGGATGAATGCAATCTCGTATTTGCATAACAATTTCGCGAGTTGCCTTGAAGTGGGCATGTTTACACTATTTGCCGCCTAGATGACCACTCGGCTCGTGAAAATATACTCAAGCTTGACAAAGATTGATCAGACACCACACCAAGTTACTGACAGACTAGAACTATAATAAACTATAAAAAAGAAAAACCAACATTAAAATGTATCAGGGGCACATTAATTACTGTTAATTACGACAGTGAACTAGTGAAGGTATTTGTTTTTGTTCATTCTCGATTATAAATTCATTTCGTGCTCCTGTTCATGGCATATTATGTATGTACCTATATCATAAACATCGTCTTTCCACCACTTTCTTGCGTGATTGAGTTAAATTCAAATAATGGTCAATCATGAACATGAACACAGAAAATTGTGTTTTTCTCGCATTTATAAGAGGAAAATATTCATAGATATCTACCGAATGTAGACAACTCCTTCAATTCAAAGCTTTTTCAAGATTAGAAAACCGGTTTGGTTTATCGTCTACATCCACAAAAGTCGTGTATAAATTAGCAAGAATAATGAACGAAACTTCATTAATTAAACACCTATCAATGAAAGTAAGCAACCACATTATAAGACATTGAAGTCACTATCTGTTTCACAGAGGAAACACTTCAATTTAATTATTGATCAATTAGCATTTGTTGTAGTTTTCAATTAAAGCAATGCTAAACACAGATACCTATAGTTCTGATATTGTCGAACAATTGACGCAACGTGGACCATTTAACATTCGGCACACACGTCACACACCATAAAGGTGTGCATTTCCGTTGGCTTATACCACTTTAGGGCATGGACATATCGGTCGGCTTAGATAATAGTTCATGAATAGTCATTACTGGGAGTACATGGAGTATAGAAACCGCAGGCTTTAATGATCACTTCCAACTGCACAATGCAGTATTTCTTCCTTGTTCGTCGTTTGTGTGCGTGTTGTCACGCAGTAATACCGTAAGTCTGTCGACAAATATCGTTTTTCTGTAACGTCCGAGTAAGTCTTCCCCGAAGGTAAATGGATCGCGTGTGCAGGCGCCACTATGTTCAATACATTCTTGGAATACGGACGACTGATCACGAGTACTTCTAAAGCAGGTTAAAACCTTCATTCGTCATTTCAAAGTGATCCTGTTTATTGCAGTTTCATAACTGTAAAGGATTTATAATCTAAAATTGTCATCAACACTCCAAAACCTGTTTGGTTCATGTTTTCCTTTCATTTTTATTTCAGCGTTAGGTATCTGAGACTTTATGATTTTGGAGCTGTTGGCTAGGTCATTTCAATCGTAAATGTTTATTTGCAACAATGCTAAATGACAACACGTACAGTTAAATACAATTTTATTCGTTGTAGGATAAAAATAGCTCAGTTACTGGCGTTAAAATTCTTGCCGTAGTAGGCGTGTGCTCCAGATAAAATTAAACTTTAAAGGCATAATGTTGTAGAGCGTCACTTATGGGCGCAGCATCTAGTGCACGGCGCGTGAGTATTCTGTGTTTGGCCAGTGGACCGCGAAGGTCAAGGCTTTACCCGCGCCACTGACCTGCCTTAGCACTCCTAAACATCAGACGCAAACTATAACTTCAACGGTCCAGTTGTTTTCTTTTAATCAAACAGTCACGAAATTAGATACTAATTCTTTTTTTAGTATCAAGAAATGATCTCGTTTCACGGTTTCGATGACCGAAGTTAGTGAAATCGATTTGTTATTGTGATGGTGAAAATAAAGATGATGAGGTGACGAGTGGTGTGGCGCGGTGTCGCATGGCAGTGCAATGGATGGTGGGACGGCTTCAGGTCCCGTGCCTCCGCCGAGATTGAAGAAATTGGCGCGGCTGGCCGGTACCAAACCAGATCGAAAGTCTGTCACATGGGTACGATTTAAAACGTGTGCTTTCATCTTTTATGAAAGTGTTTGATTGAAAACTTCTTATAAAACCTCCCGATAGTTGATTTTAATAGGCTCATTTTTTAATTTACATATACCGGGTTCCATACAAACTGTGAAGGCGTCTTAGAATAAAAGCCTTTTCTCCGGAGATAATAATCATATCCTCGCAGGTCGTATGATCGTATTGTAGGAACGCCTTTTGAATTTGCGTTTCAAAATTGATGTTCGCATAAAATCTTTTGATATCATTAAAAACGAACTTCGGTGACAGGCAAACAAAGACGGACGGACAAACAGACAAGGAATAATACGAGTACAAAGCAAGTTGAATGGCGCGCTCGCGGCTTCTGCGCGCCGTGGGAACGTCAACCGTTCCTACCTATTATCTCCTCATAAGAAAAACAAACAAATTCGTGAAACTAACACAATGCATTTTCGCACATTATTACAGTTACTTCATTTAATTTTTTAAGCCTGTTCTACTGTGTTCATTTTATCCGTTAGGTGTCATCTGTCAAACAACGAAGACTTCTTTTGTAATGTTTTAAATTAAATACTGCATTTGTAATGTCATTTCGGTCTGAAAGTGTGATGTCGTTGGATAATATTTGCCAAGGGTTTAACAATTTTCCACAGCTACTTAAAATTCTTAACTGTTAAAAGGGATTAGATATGGTTTTGAAATAGGTATTGTTTAAAAACTTAGGAAGGACGCAATGCGCACCTACTTACTATATTAAGTATGATAAGTTTTCATGTTTTTTAAGTTAATCGTCGCTACTTAAATCGCCATTTTTACAAATTTTATTGAAGTATACCCTAATACTATGGTTTTGCTACTAAACATTACGCGTTTGTTAGACCTACATTAATATTAATAAAAAAAAACAAAATCTCTAAGCGTTTTTATTTTTTTCCAGGGTCCAGAGACATGGGTAGGAGTAAGAGCGTTGCGTGCCAGTTCAGGAGGTATTCTGGACCCAGACGACCGCGTGCGGGATGTGGCGGATGACAGGGAAACCCTCACGGCTGAATGTACCAGTCAAGCGCCACAGCCTCGCGCTGCGCAAGCAGATGGCGCCAGTGGGTCTTCAGCCGGCACCGCCTCCCCTGACATGTTTCGGGTAAGTTATTCTAAATTTAATTTAATTGGAAAATGGCGAATAAAATATTAGGTCACTCTAGGCGCCATAAAAAGAAAATATTTTTACAATCTCTAACTGCATCAGCAATTCCAAATTCAATTTTAATTCGGTAGTTAATGGTAACGCGTGATTCAGCCAAAATACATTATTTTTTTATTATTAAATATGGTCATGGTCCTTTAAATTTTTTATAATCTATTGATGAGAATTGAATAATAAACTAATGCTATCTATCGATTTATTTATTTTATTAGAGATATTTGGAAATATACGAATTTTTGCTTACTATAAAAATGAGCAGCAACATTGTGACACCCAATAAGAATAAAATTAGCAATTTAATAACAAAAAAAGACAGAGCAGTTTATTATTTTTTTACGTCGATACATTTAACACAAAATTAACACCAATAAAAATACAATAACTTTTAACACGCCACATTGATAAAAAATATTAGGCTGAATGTGCAAGTATCACAGACACTTTAGAAGAAATAAAAAAAATGAGAGCGCGGGATTTGTTCAAACTCCAATCAGTCAAGTTTTGTTCGGGGGTCCTGTCGAAACCTGTGCATATAGGAAAAATATTTCTTGTGTCGAAACAAAATCATTTCGTGACATGTCAAGAACAAGTAAGGACTCTAGACTCTCGTTTAATTGTAATATCAAAATGGGTTTGTGTTTCTCTCAGTGTTTTTGTGAACAAACTCCTAATAAGGTGAGTTCAAAATACAAGTTATTAAAATTAAAATGAAAATTCTAGTAGCTAGAGTACAAAAATAATTTCGTGTTATGATTATGAGTGAGTCCAATCGAAACTGAAAGGGTTTTATACCGAAGTGTCCTATGTCGATAGTTGATGGATAAATTGGTACTGATCCGGGTCGAATACCGAGCCCTAATATTGGGATTCAGATCAATTAGTTTGACAGTGTGGTTTTGTGAGTTAGGTACTATAAATATGTAGGTAACGTACTCAATGCATTCTCGATTTAGGTTCTCTTCACAAATCCTTAGGATACAGGAATTTAGTTGTGCAATATTCGCTTTATTATTAACTAGCGACCCGCCCCGGCTTCGCACGGGTGCAATATGCATGTATTATACATACAAACCTTCCTTAAGAATCACTCTATCTATAAAAAAAAACCGCATCAAAATCCGTTGCGTAGTTTTAAAGATCTAAGCATACATACGGACATACAGCGAAAGTGACTTTGTTTTATACTATGTATTGAAGTCGTAGTCGTAAAGACGTAATCAGTTCAGCTACTACAAGCCTAACTGCGTCTCCCATATGCCTGACGACTGACGACGACCATTTATCTCTTTCTTCGCTCAGTATCGTCTGCACAAACCTCTGGTTACCCCTGTGTATGACAACCAGGGTCATGATATAAAAACCTACTGGTGTTCTCTGCGACCGAAATTACGTGACATAGTGTGCTGATAGGTACTTACGCGATCCACAAACCAAACCTGGCGTATTGAAAACATTTGCAAAGAATAAAGTTAAACTAATTCACATACGTACTTAATACATCGGTACCTACGTAGGTATAATAATGAACGATAACAACCACCGTACGAACGTATGATTCACTCATATAACGGGCGGCACGAATGCTTGCATTCACGCTTCTTACAACATGTTCAGGCGCACATCAAAGTATACCAAACTATTTAATAATAGATTATTTAATTTTGGGTAGCTTGATGTGCTGGCGTCTTTAGTTTCGTACCTACCTAAGTCACAACACCATTTACGTAGTACCTACATAGGTATCTATTTAGTAGATAACAAGCTGAAACTGGGCTAACAGGATTAAAGAGCTCGCAACCAGAGCGTTTATATCTAGTTATAAGTTTAAATATACACTTTAATAATATGATTGTAAGGTGGTTTTTGGCCTTCACTGCTTTATGTCCTAGATTTCTGTTTCAATTGACTCTTATGTCCTAATTAATATAGTTGTTGAGGCTGGTGTGATGTTCAACGGTTGATAATTCTGAAACTAACACCTAAGTATCATGTTAAATGGCAGGTAGATACATAGGATTCTACTCGAGCTTATTAGATAGGTAACTTGTATATAATTATTATAAATATGCTTTAATCTCCGAACAACAAATTCTTTCATCTTATTAGATTTTTCATAATTTTTTAATATTATTTACGTAATAATTGTCCCTGGAAGTCTCCAGGGACGGCAGAACAAACAAGATAAACAAACGTTTCTGTAAGAAAATAAGAAATACGTGTCTAATGATTTAAAATAATCTACCAGGCGGACATTAAAATAAAAATAAGGCATCTACCCTATTAAGGATTTTATCGAATGAAAATCAGCATTGTCGCATCGTGCATTAGGTTTGCATGATCGTATCTCCTGCAATCTGCATTGGAGAGTGATTCACTTCAATACACAGGGTACAGCAATTTGTATTGAATCTCATAATTGATTATCGAGATCCGTCACGGTCCAGTAGTTTAGTAGAATGCTGTACAATGTATAACTTATTCATAATGCCTGTAATTACATATTAGAGGAGCGTCACTCGAAATTGTAATTAAGCATGTCTGTGGGGCTTAAGATCCATGTCTTCGAAAAAGTTCGATTAGATAGCTAATCGATACGAATATAAATGTAATGTTTTTGTCTGTAAGATCGAGATAAAATGTTTTTATTCCAATACAATAAAATATTTTCAATCTACCTACTTTTAATTCAGAGATTTATCATTCTCTATTATTCAGACAGACAATAGCATCAGTCGGTCATGATCAGACGTACCGAAAGAAAAGATAAAATAATATCTGTTTTATCTTGTATACTGTAGACAATATATCATTTTCAACCGATTTAACTGGTAGTAAGTGGAAAAGTATCTCCTTGACATTATGCATCGATATCAATGAACTTTGATGCGTTTTTGATTGATATTTGATTGAAATTTAATTATTTAATATGGTTGTATATGCCTTCAGGGAGGTGGCGGCGTCGGCGGCAGTATGCGCGTTCCTGACACCGACTCATGTGTCGAAGTCGGGGCGGCAGATTTGGAAGATGGAGCGAATGGTCTGCAAGTACGGCGCGGCAGTGAACCCACGCTACACCAAGATACCCTACCGCCTCAGAGACCGGTATTTATTTCTTTTAATTACTTAGATTTTTATTAGTCATTTTCTCATAAAATTACCTAAATCATTCTAGTAATTCATTTTGCCTGAATTATTGACTGATATTGAATTTGATTTCACTTCAGTATACAGATTTTACTTGATTAAAGGTCTGTTTTTCCATGCACACTTAAAATTTATCAGAGGAATGACTTTGAATGTTAGACAATTTATATCGAATGAATGTTAGTCAAATCTTTTGATAAAGGGAAAATTATCACAAAGCAATTTTTCAGAAGTTTACTTTCCATTGTCTATCAGTACCATCATAAACATACTATAATGTATTGATCAGCTAAAATTAACTGTTAAATTAGAAAAACAAATAGCTAAGTACCTACTTCATTGTTATTCAACAACGTTTCATAATCTCTTCGATTGATCGGCTGAGATAGATTAATTAATTTAGTCTTGCACGGAAATGGAACAACGCTCATTCAGAAAGGACGTCATTGTAATATTTGTCCTGAATAGGATTAATTTATACATAATTATATTTGTCGTCGTTGACTTGTTTGTTACCACCTTGTTAGGATTTACCGTCAAATACCAAGTACCAACACATTGTTGTACTTACTAACAATTACAAATTATTTATCTTACTTATTTTGTTTGAAAAGACGGAAAGTCTGCTAACTCATCTACATAATATCATTATCTAATTCATAATTAAAGTAACTTCATGCGAAAGTTCCGATATCCTTTCCAAGGAAACATAGTTGAAGTATACAGTGCTCATGGGTTTTAATCAAAACACGAAAATGAAATTTTGTGTCATCTAATTTCATCTGCAGTTTGATCAGTTTTGACAATAGTTAGGTAACTATTCTTATTTAACCCATTGTAATGAAAATGTATTCTATATAATAATGGCTTTTATAATTGCAGGTATCAGAACAAACAAAGCGGTGGTCGGCGGCGGTGGTGTGCCGGGACGACAGTAGCAGAATGACGCAGAAGGTGCATCCGTTGCCGGACGGCCGGCCGCCTGACGTCGCCGTCGACCGGCACGGACAACACTTCCAAAGGCAATCTAATCGCCTATCAATGCAGTTTTCTGGGCCTGGGTAAGTTGACTAACGGTATAACGGGGTGAATAGATACAGAAGAGAAAATGTTCTAATATTTATTCAACCCATTTCTGTATCTATTCCCTCTAGAATTCTATTCACTCCGTACGGTATTGAATTATCATTAGTTATACCAAGTTATAAGATCTCATTGCAGTTGCATATGACATCTCTAGGTATTGTAAATCCTTACTTATATTAAAAATGGGAAAGTGAGTTTGTTTGTTTGTTTGTTCCGCTTTCACGCCGTAACTACTAAACCGATTGCTATGAATTTTTGCAGACGTAAAGTTAGAAGTCTGGATTAAATAATAGGGTACTTTTTATCCCAGAAAAATTTGATATTCTCGAGGGAAAACGAAATTATTGGTATAGATGACGCTGTGTGTATTGGTATATGTCACATAGGCTACTTTTATCCTTTTGTGACGCAAGCGAAGCCGCGGGTAAAAGCTAGTACTCAATAATGTAGGTTCAGGTTCGAGCCGAGTGTGCGTCTCTCTGGCAGGAATTAATGAACATGCATAAAGGTTTTATCACCACAAATTTTTATTGGTAGAACGTTTTAAGATTCATGGAAACAGTGAGGCATTCTTGCATCATATTTTTATGCACAATAATATCTCTTGCGCAGTTAGCTATTTATAAGTAAGTTTCAGTCGGTTAACTGACTTATGACTCAAACTCACATTCAAAAACATTTATTTCAATCAAACTATAATTTGGTACTTTTGAAACGTCACCCGAGAACTCATTAAAGTATCTGCTGTACCTAATTGGTATTTTCCTATGTTGATTGTTTATAAATTTGAGGATCTTTCCGCAACCCACGTGTTTCGTAGTAATGCAACAAAATGGTGTACATATACAACATTGTACCGAAAATTTGGTAGCGTTAATTCATCATAGAAACTTCAAAGAAAATCGCAGTGTCCATAATCGTTCTAAATCGTTCTCCATTTAGACTTAACAAAAGCGGCTATTTATATAATTATTTCCGTAATTTTGTTAAATAAAGCCAAATCAAGAACGTCTTTTAGTGAATTTTTCGCATAAATTAAACAAATTAATTTCATGGCTATCATTTTATGGAAAGACGTGTGTCTAATTACTTGTGCCTTAATTATTCAGTATTATTTACATTCTTTCTTCCTTTTTCAAGTATTAAAGTTTAATTGTTTAACTAATATGTTACACTATCTAGCAAATAAATAATTATTCATAGTATAGTAAATGGTAGAACAACAATAGGCAGGATACTATATTCTACACTAGCGCCCCTAGCGGAAAATAACGCTTTGACTAAGATTCATGTCAATTTTAAGCTCACTAGAAATTCAAACTTATTTATTAGAGATAAAGTCAAAATTCTCACAATTATTTTGTTTTTCCAGTAGCGGTGTATGGTTGGACGCAGCAGAGCGGGTCCAGAGTTATGGCAGCAAAAGTCTTCCCAGAGACGCCCGAAGAGAGCCATTAGGACAAGATATGCCAGTTAACAACCACCAAAATCACAGGTTAGTACTGAACCATAGCTTTAAATCGGTCTAATAACACGATTCAAAACAATTTATGTTAATCCTCGTTTAAAAACCCACGTGTTACCTCCTACAAGTGCATTATAGATGTAGAAAACTAAATTTAACGCGAAAATTTAAATAACTATAGAAAATGTAGTTTCACTTTCTATTAAAACTATTCACAACAAATATGGAAATTAGTTGGCACCTTTTGCTATGCAGCAGTATGAATAATCCTACTATTATTATATAATTCCACAATACAACTTACTTGATTCCCCTTGATTCTATGAATACCAAATCCTCTTTAACCTAATTTCAAGGGTGACTAACCTAGGTTATTGTTGCAAATTCAGAGAAAACATTAACGAGATACACATTCGATAAGTAATCGATTACTTCAACCGTTATCGTAATGTGACACGAATGAGTTATCGATTCTACTATCAGATTATTACGGTGAATGAGAGGTATTTTGATTCACTAGTGTGTGTTTGTTTAGCTACTACTGTTATGACTGAACAAAACAATCAATCTATTCTGTATTGAAATAGTAAATATCAGTTTTGTAACAGTTACGGGTAGATTTTGTAACAGTTACGGAGTTTCAGGTGAAAATTTGTAGAATCAAAACTAAAAATGTGCAATTTTTAGTTTTTGGCATTGCCAGAGGGCGCTGGTGCAGCTTTTGGTCCGACATAACTTAAAAATGTTTGCAAAACAAATCATCCTTTTTTACAATAACTGAAAAACGTCTTTTGGAATAGGAATTAAGGAATATTTATTCAATTAAAAATCCTAATGTATTTTTCTTAACGTTTTCAGGGTAGAGGACATGCTCCGGTGGGTGTCAGGAGTGAACAATGTAGCGAGTGTACATCCTGTGCAAGAACGGCCTCTTGATCTCTTACCCGAAGGTACGCACTTATGTATAACAAATTAATAAGTAAACAATTGGCTACTCTCCTAGGTTTAAAATAAATTGTTTCAATTTTTCAATGCAATAAATAATTAAAAAATAATCATACTCTCATCCATTAATTTGAAAATTTACCTACTTTTGGATTTTTTCTCGATAATTTCAAGGAAATAAGTACTATGGTATTTGACGCAGTAATATCGTCGTAAGTTGCGATCCAATACAAAATTTATAGAAAAGTATCGTTTTTGACATTTCAATAAAAGTATTGAATTTGACTACCTGCCAACTGCCATATTGCGAGTCTATAAACTTTCCAATTTCATACTACATGTGGCTTGGAACTTACACGTCATTAACACGTTAACTGCCGCGTAGGTCACCGGTGACCTACGTTAGCGGAGAATTTGCCTTCAGCAGTTTTCTATCGGCAGTCAAAGGCTTAAATATGACTCAATATCATCTAATGTACTCAGATTCGTTCATTATTAGAACATGCTTACTAAGCGATATTTAACCGTGAGGCACTGGTTTCTCTAGGTGTTCTCTGTAAACAAAGCTTTTGTAGTACAAATAAAAATAAGACCTTACCTTTACCTAAAGTAATGTCTCATACCAATTTGACCTAATCTTTAACCTTTTATATTTTTATAGGGGGCAGCAGTGAACGTGCGATATCCGGTATGGAGGTCCCAGTGAGTCCCAGTAGTAAGCCAATATCAGGCGCCACCCAAACAGTGGCCGTTACTTTAGTGAAAGGAGAGAAAGGCCTCGGCTTCACCATCACCACCAGAGACAATCCCACAGGGGGACACTGTCCTATTTATATCAAGAATATTTTACCTAAGGTGTGTATATGTTTGTTCCAAAAAACGTTTTTAGCTGTATGGACGTAATCTAAAGTTGGTGTATACTGAGCCTTTAGCCAAACGCCACTTTAGCGCTTGTCTACAGAGAGAGTTGAAAACTAAATGATGGGGATGACACTGACAAGTGTCAAAATTTACGTCAATTCCTTAGAATTTGGTTTAGAGCTAAATGGCATTTGGCTACAGCTGCTGGTATGTTCCAACGTAGTAACGAAGCTATGTTATGACTTCTATTGGTTTAACTTTCAAAAATGCCTTACTGGTCTAATTGAAATGAATGATTTTGACTTTAACTTGGACTATACTACCGAAAATGTCGAGGAAGCAATTGTAATACGTTCAAACCACTGTCTCAGTAACAAAAAAAGCCAACCACAGAATCCATGTATCAAAATGTCACAAAACAAAACGTCCCGGTTCCCGAAAATCTATCCAACCAAATGTACTTTTTGGGAGATTGATTCTTCTCTAAATCTCAAAACTCTTAGTTTAAACTAAATCTCTATTATCTTATATAAGCCTTTGATAATAACATAACATCATATTTTATCTCCGAAGTGGTAGGTAGAGGTGCACATTGCGGCATTTAGTGCCACTGTCCAATGTAACACCCACTTTGCACTATTAATGTTATAAGTCCCATGTAATAGGAGGTGAGCCTATGTAGCCTAGCGCATTTAGTTAGCCTTTTACAATAAGTAAATAGTATTATATTCTTGTTCCAGGGTGCAGCAGTATCAGACGGCAGACTGCGCGCGGGCGACAAGTTGGTGTCGGTGAACAACGTGTCCGTGGCCGGCCTCACGCAGCAACAAGTCGTCACCTTACTTAGGAACACTCCCACCGACTCCACCGTCGAGATACTCGTCGAGAGAACTGTACCTAATCGGACACAGGTAAATATAGAGTTTCTTACATCTAAATATTTAAAATTCCTTAGATTTTTAATGTCATAGAGGTTCAGGAATGTCACAGTTGGAATGAGTTGGTTTTTAGTCTGGCACTTCAAAAAATTGTCTAGAATTTTCTTCTGTATCATGGGTGCGTTTACAAACATACAAGTTCACATATATATTACACCCAGACCTGGAACAACAATTTGTAGATCACACAAATTAATCCTTTTAAAAAGCGAGAAGCGCACTTGTAGGTTCAAGCTGGTGTTGAAGTTGTTCTTCATGAGATTCAGATTCCGCTCGTTTACCTATAAAAAAACCACACCATCAAAGGTGCAGATATCATTTGAAATTGCTTAAAATGTCCAAGTGAACTTACAACAGAAGGAACTTTTCAAAAACTTCTTAACATCAAAAAATATATTTAATCCATATTTTAATCTATTCCAGAGGGTCGAACCTCAACAAAGTCCGACGAAATACGTGGAAAAGGCGATAGGAACGCCAATGAATGCAATAGAAGTGCCAAAGCCTTCAGAAAACGGTCGAGTATCGAGTATAGTGAACGCCATCAACCAGAACAACGTGAACAGTTCCATGCGAGGCAGGATACCTAAGAGCTCGTCGAAAGACGATCTGCTGCATAAGGATAATAGCAACGACAGTGCACTGCAAGACGCTTTGAACTCTTCGTCTAATTCCGTAAGTTTGTTTCTGGTCGTTTTGTATCATTTCGGTTTGTTTGTAGTTTCTAATAATACTTCATTGCTACTATAGACCTTCTGGGTGTTTACAATTTTTGATATTTTCGGATACTATAATATTTAATAGTATGGTTTTTTGTTTATCTGCTTCTTACTAACTTATTAACTTGTTTACACCTGGAGATAAGTGGTGCATTTAGACCTGCCAACATCTAGGGGGAAACATTCATGCAGCATGCAATATTTTTAAAAAGAACTTTACAGAGACACACTTAATACTAATACATGTCATTAACTCCTTTTTTAACACAAATATTTGTCATTAGTCCTTCCTTTCCCAGATTCTTGGTCTCCGCAACCGGTTAATACTTCGGCTGGACGTGCCGGTGCACGACTCGGAGAAGGCAGGGCTGGGCATCAGTGTCAAGGGGAAGGTTACTGTTGGACCTGATCCCCAGGACCTGGGCATCTTTATCAAGTCTGTGTTACATGGAGGTGCGGCGTCTAGGGATGGAAGGTGAGCGAAAAATAACTTCTTGGTTAATGAAACTACTAGGTATTTAGAAAATGATATTTTAAGTACTTGCCAAGAATTTGAATTTTGATCCGGTATTTATCGAAATTCTCCGTGTTAGTTGGTTGGTTGGGTTTTGGCAATGGGGTTATCTCCTATTTGGGAAGTATTTAACTGGCAAAAAATGTCATCGCCATCATCATAATAGCCACAACATATCTACGGTTACATAGGCCTTCTTCAATGACTTAGAGGCGACATGTGTACTTTTTGCGTACTACCTCGTGAATGATCTGAGGCCTTAGTACGAGTTTCTTTTACGTTTAAAGTAATCGTAACGAGTACGCGTTCGGCGTTGTGATTGGCCGGCTCCAATGAACCAACCAATCAGAGCGCCGGACGAGGTTTTGTTTCGATTACTTTAAATGAACTTTAAATGTAAAACAAACTCGTACTATGGCCTAAGATACTACACCGAAAGTTCACCTTTATTATAGGTGTAGTATCCATTCCCTAAACATTTGCTAAAACAACTAATTCTCGCTTTCAGATTATACACAAACGACCAGTTATTATCAGTGAACGGCGTGTCACTAGTAGGACAGAGTAACGCGGAGGCTATGGAGACGTTACGACGCGCGCTACTACATGCTCGGCCACAGCGCTCCGGGAGCATCTCTCTCACTATAGCTAGGAGGACTGGTATGTGGATCTGGGAAATAATATTTGTCATGTGATTTAACCTATACCCATAAAGCTGAATCTACAATTCGCCTTCCAAATGGGGCTAACGTTTTTTTGCTCACCAAATAGCGCAAATGTAGGAAAGGGTGTTTTGTCCAATCATAGCAGATGCCAAATATTAAACGTCCAATGGTGTGACACTAGCTAATTCTCTATTGGACGAAGAACGAGTGGTTTAAACTAGCTCCATCTGGTGAATAAAGAAACGGTAGACCCCATTGGAGAGATCATGGCAAACCTTTCTTATGTAGTAACTAGAGCATTCTCTTTCAGTTTTACATTTAAAACTATGTATCTAGAGAATTGTATTGCGAATCTGATTGAAAAAGACTAACTTATGGAGTTTTGCTCGTTCTTCTCCATAGGAATCTACATCTTGGAATTTGCAAATAGCTTCGCTTTTAATTTTTTTTACGTTCAAATGTGCCTTTCTGATCTAATTGAAATAAATGACTTTGACTTTGCCTTTGACTTGGAAGATGGTAGTCTAAGTTGATTTAACTTTCACCATTAAACCCCATCGGATAGTGGTTATTACTTTCAACAAAATTTTTTTCAATAGCGAATTTACTTTGATCTCCACACAGTATTGTTTGATTTAGACGTAAAGTGACATATAAAAATATGATATACCAGTTATTATTGTTATGGTCAGGACCTACCTACCAGTATGGCCTTGTCTATGTTGGTACAATGTTAAGATTCAGTTACTGACAAAATACTCATTCCTTTTGCTTCTTTCTTCTTTGGAACTGCGATATATGAACTGCTTTTAACTTATCTTATTCTTCTACCAACAGACAGTACGGACAGCCTAGCAAGGTGGAAGGACGACACGCCTCCAAACGGCAACGACACAACAAATTCTAACGAGAACTCACAGAACTACAACACTGTCATATACAACGCAAGCAGTGACAAAGAGAACAAACCAGTAGACAATTTCAACCAAAAATACGATACCAATCAAAACGAGGGCTTTGACAGCCACGACGGTAGGAGTACCAAGAAACATGCATCAATTATAACTATAAATAACAACAATAGTTGGGTTTCAAACCAATCAGATGACAGTAAAGGTTATTTAGAAAGAGACAAAGATATACCTCCACATGATAATAAAAGAGATAGCTTCGAATGGAGTAGGCTTGATGGCTGGAACCCTGTAATAGACCGACTGACTGGATTAAGAAACGAGAGTTATTACATGGCAACTCAGATCGATGCACCGGTAACGAATGGCCACCACTATAGACATAATTTGGGACACGTACACATGCCACGGTCGCCGCCTGCGCATCATAATGTTATTATTGAAGAGGATTATGGTACAACGAGGTGAGTTCTTTAGAATTAAGATATCAGTAGGTAGAGCCAATTACTCCCGTCCCCAATCTCCCCAATACCTGAATCCCTGAAACAATCATCAAATTCCTAAGTCCTAAAAGGCCGGTAACGCACTTATAATGCTTCTAGTGTTTCGGGTGTCCACGAGCGACGCCGATTGCTTACCATCAGATGACCCGCCTGCTCGTTTACCAGCTTATTCCATAAAAAAGAAGAATTTCTCAGATGAGTTTCTATTTTAAATATTATAAATGTACAGGGGTAGTGGAAGTGGTTGTGGCGGTGAGTCAGGCAGTGAGAGTGGCGCGGGGTTCAGTCGTGACGCGGTGGGCCGACGGTCCATGTCGGAGAAGCGACACGCCGCGCTAGACGCCAAGAATACTGGCACTTACAAGAAAATCAAGGAGACCAAAGCTATCAATGGTAAGTGAAATTGAAGTTGAAGTATTCTTCTTTGATTTTTCTATGGCTTTTGATATTGTGGGATAGTATGTTGTTTGGTTTTTGTTTATAAATTAGTTTTATGTGTCATCAATACACAAATGTGCTTCAAATCGTACCCACTAAATAATAAGATTTACATAAAATATTAAGATTTCTTTTTCGAAGAGAGGTATTGTTCAATGTCTCAAAATAAATTTTTTTCAAAATGTTATCACACGGATAACTTTGAATATTTGACAAATCTTCCGTCAAAAAACTTTTAAATATCAATTTAACTCGTCGAGTACCGTCATTATAGACACAATTATAGAACAATAGGTTGCGGTCACCGGTGACCGCTTGGTGTTTGACAGTTTAATCGTATAGTTAAGAATTATTTGTTGATTGAGAATTATGAGAAATCGGCCCTAAGTATTAATAATAAAAGGCTTCCTCAAGGAAGTATACTGGGTCCAATGTTATCTTTAACGTATACTAAAAGCCACATATTACTTCAAATTTTTCTTTCACAGCATTACAAGTAGGCCCATCATTAGGAATGAGAAAATCATCAAGTTTGGAATCTTTACAAACGGCGATACAGGAGACGCAAAGAAATCCGCGTAATGAACCTATTTATGCACGAGCGCACCCACGTGAGTACCAAGTAGTTTATTAAAAACATATAATAAAAAAAAAATATCGGATGTAGGCTACAATAAAATATTTCTTTATCTAGTTTTTCTATAAAACTCCCACGGTAATTAAAACTAAAATTTTATCTATTATTCCTTAAAGTTTTTAAGATAAATAATGTTAATATTGTCTGCAACACGTGCAAATTACTTTGTTGTTATGTCTAGTTAAAACTGGTTAATGAATAACCGTGTCTTCTTACAGCTTTAAAAACGTGGTTAACGGACGACCATCACGGACCGGACATGATCAGAGGCTCACCGCAACAATCGTCACTATCACATAAGAAGCCATCCATACTCAAGTCGTTATCAACTATGTTTAGGTAAGTTTCTGTTTCATCATTTCCCTTTTTGGGTATTATGAAGTATTCAAAATTCAATAAATAAGGGTTATTGAATTGTTAAAGTCATATATTTTTTTGTAATATCATAATTTATTAGTCTGGTTCCATAATATGTATACTGTCAGATTGATATATCGGATATGTATCATAATATAGTATATCCATTAGTATATTGTATTCTGCGAACCCTGAACATAACTGCTGAAAATTAGTTAACTTGTAAGCATCTCTGTTCCGATACGGAGCCGCGGAGAACCTAACGGGTTACCGGGGCTCCGGCTTGAAGTGCAGAAGTAGGAACGGGGTGGTTTTTAGTAAGTAAGAGTCTGACACTCCCTCTCGCCTCACCCAGACGGGAGAAGTCATTCGATGATTTTCCCCCCTTAAAAAAAAGCATCTCTGTTTACCTTTTTAGGGATTAAAAAGCAATGTTAGGGAGCTATTAAAAGGTGATGTAAGCGGGGGTATTACAAGGTGTTAGTTTTTAGTTATGTTAAATAAATAGCGAAAAGAAGAGAAGTTTTTGATAAAATCATACATCCTTGTTTATAATTCTTGTTTCGGATACACGTTTTAATTAGACAAAGTTTTAATACCAATTACATTTCGTATCATTAGCAAAAAGTGACTAATGCTAACTGTATACACTCACACGTTTTTGTAGAAATGACGTAATTTATGCAGTGATAAAATAAAATACATTAAATATGAGCGCGTACACTAATTAAGGTAGTTTTAATTAAATATATTGCGTAATGTTATAAAACATGGCACTCATAAAATTACACCTTTGCTTCATTATAACATGCAAATTGGTGTTCATAAAGTAGGTATGTTATAAATTCATGTTTTCTAGGTTATTGTTTTTAATGTTAGTACACAAAATAGTTTTAATTACGGGTAGACAAATCCAATGTGGCCTACCGTATTTTTGCTCACTTTGTTTGGAACTCTCGTTCTTCGCCCAATAAGAAATCAGCTAGTGTCCACACCATTGGACGTTCATTATTGACAGCTACTGCGATTGGATGAAAGGATCTAAAATACGGTAGCCCCCTTTACATAGTCTGTTTTTCTTCGAAGAGGTAAGAATCATGTTTCGCTTTAATCAAGTTTTATACTGGACCTCATTAGAAGTAGGCTAATGATTTTCGAGCGAGTTAGCTTTAAAGCAGAGTAATGTAGGCAGGTATGTCAAATTCCCTTGGCGCGCTTTTAAAACCCAAATGGATAATTATAATAAGTACATAACACAGTCATGGAAGAGCCTAATACAGAATATTGGACCCAATTCTAAACTTTATTATCACTGGGAATTACAGAATTGCAGTCTCAATAATATTTTTTACTCTCCAATCGCTTGTCACTACCACTTGGCACTCGGCCAATAAGGAAGTCACGTAAATCTAAATATTTTTTTAATCTTCACCAACAGGATAGGAAAACCTCACAAGAAGCCAGAAACAGAAGTTTATGGCAGATCACAGCCAGGCAGAGCTTCAGAGAAGTCACTGTCAAGAGAAGCGTTAGAGCGACACAACAGAATAGAAGAGAGGGAGAAAGAAGAAGAACCAACCACCAAACCACAACAGCAGAGGTATGATGTTATATTTCTTTCATTGTCATCATCATCATATCAGCCAATAAGACGTCTATTGCTGTACACAGGCCCCCATCATTGACTAGGGACAACTTTTTTTCTTACTTCACTTTTTTACTTTTTTTGCTTTAGTTCATGAGGCACTGTTATTATTGTTCCTGATTTGTATGTTAACAAGTAACATGAAATAAATATTATTTGAAATCTTTTGTATTTATTCAAATAATTAGACAATACGGCTTAGATGCAAATACTGAACGCTACTAAATTTTAAGATTTTCAACAAATAGTTCTGTCACTTGAAATTCTTTGTAAAATGAAAGAGACAGCACGATATTTAAACATTTCAGTATTCGGGCGTGTGTCACGTAACTGATCCGAGGATGCTCGATTAGTTTCAAGCCATGGCGGGGGTACAAGTTTATCATAAAGTCAATAAGATTGCTGTAGAAAAGTTTCTGTCTAACGCGTAGTTCCTTAGTAGGTTCTTACGTACACCGCGAAAAATTAAAGAATGTTGGCAATTAATGTATCCTGCTTGGCCCTAAGATTGTTAATAAAAGCCATTTTCATTAGATCGGAAGTATCCCACTCGCGCCAAGGCAGCAGTGGTAGCGGCGACCGTGCGCACAAGTCCGAGCGACGCGCGCCGCCGTACAGGGCTCCACCACATCAACAACACTCGGTAAGTCATTTAATTACTCTATACTTATTTATGATTCTTTATAGGATAGAACAAGCACACGGATCACCTGATGGTGAGCAATCTGCACCGCCTATAAACACCGGTAACACCAAACAAGTGCTTCGCCTTTTGGGAGGCCTTCACACATCGAAACACCTAACGGGTAACCGGGGCTCCGGCTTGACGTGCAGGAGGAGGAACGAGGTGGTTTTTAGTCGGTAAGAGTCTGACACTCCCTCCCGCCTCAAAAAGGCGGGAGCAAACATTCGATGATTTTCCCCCCTTAAAAAAAAGACAGGCGTTGTTTCACGCTGGTTTTCTGTGAGGCCGTGTCTTGGTATCACTCTAGAGAAGACTCATTAGTGCTGACCGTGGCTCTCCACGTGAATCTGTTTATTGTGATAATTATGCCATTTCATGCAAAGGTTTGTCCTTGATTGTATAGAAGGTTTTAATTTGATGCGCAGCAGGGAATGGACAGCGCGTGGGGTCCCACCGGTCACTACGTCAACTATGAAGAAATACAACAGAATTTAAAGTAAGTAAACACAGTGTGATGTGTTTTCTAATAACTAAGCGACAAAATAGGAGACATTTTATGCATATGAGACATAACTTAGATATTCATTTCGTGCGAAGGGTTAATGCAAATTTTTAAACATCAAACTGTCTTTGGTTTTGTCAAAGATCTTCTTTAAATGCTTCCTATTAAGTTTTTAAGAGCTTAAAACATCAAATATCTGCTTAATCGGTATTGCCAAGTAAATAAGGTCGTGATTCGGAAATAAAACCGCTCATAATATTACAGCGCGCGTCGCGAGAAGTTGAGCGAGGTGCAGATAGGACAGATGAGGAGACAGGTCAGCGCGCAGAGAGCCAAAGCAGAGGAAGAGAGGTGAATATCATTAAAAATAATTCATTCTATACAAAAATAAATGGGTTTAACCTATGAAACTGCTGTTTTTGGCATAAAATGAACGCTTTTTGCGCTTACTAGATGGCAATACAATAGTCTAAAGTCCTATTTGTCAGTCCCTGTCAACAATTGACAGTCCAATTTTTGGCAAAAAATATGATTTGGACAAGCAGGACCTGACTCTTTATTAGCATCTAGTGAGCACAAAGATTATAGTTCTCATAAGCAATTAATAGCAATTTCTTAAGTAAAGACCTAAAAGAGTAAATTGAGCGCACGAGCAACTTTTGGTCTCTTTTCTCTCTACCTCTGTCGCCTGTCTGTTTACCATTGATATTGTAAAACATAAACCATTTGGATATTCCGTATTAAGCCATTAATTTTAGGAGTATTTTCGTATAAATCTTGAAGTTTGTTAAGCCGAAAGTTTCTCGTGCGCGTTGTACATTTATTTCCTTTATTTTTATAACAAACTTAAGAATTATAAGAGATTTTAACAACCTACGTAACTCATTTTTACACGCATCTCACAAACACATTACCTAAATAATTTATTAGATAAACGTGACTTAAGAAAGAGTAACAATTAAAACCGGTAGTATAACAACTGATTCACTGTATGTAGTAATAAAATATGATTGTGTACACGTTTTATTACTTGGAAACAATCTTGATTAGCTACTGGTCTAACCCTTGGTTTATTATACAGTTTATTATTAAGTCCGCCTTAGAATTGCATACTTGCATTCAATACTGAGTCGTTAATTGGAGATAAAAACTTTATTCTAAGTAAATACTTACTATAGATACATAAATATTAATCTAGCTACAACACACCGGTTTTCTCGATTCGATTTTATAATTCGAGTTATTTGTCTATCTATGGTATTAATTATTTTGTCGTAAATTTTTCACGATGCTATTTATTGGACGGACAAGACTCAACTCGTCAAAGGCGCCATCTGGTGTGAAACCTGACAGTTATTTTTAAAGATTTATTGTATGACGAACAGTGTAGTTCTATAATTGTGTATTCTATGCAATTGGGTACTTGTCAACTGGACAAATTCAATACTTTTTTCGAAGTGTCGAAAACGTCAGTTTTTATGTATTTTCTACGAGATTGTGTTTTGTGACGTTACGTTTTATTAGCGACAAACAGCATACTTATTTCTTAAAAAATATTAAAATTAAGTTGATCATAAAATTAATTTATATAAAAGTGTCACTATTTATTAATGTTTTATTGTAGGTATTGAACAGTCGAAATAATTTATTTTTGAACAAGGGAAGTAGGTACTCAATTGAAATAATTATTAAGAAAAACAAAATCGATGAAACACAGTGATAACAATAAAATGTGTATGGATTAAAAAAAAACTACATATCGTCCACATGTAGCTAGTCTTTACGTTAAAATTATTTCAATAAGCAAAATAATTCCGTCTTCTTTTAACATCCACTATAATTACTTACACAGTTGTACAAAGATGTCACTTGACAATAATAATAATTAAAATTATCGTATTTTCCTTCTTACTCGGTAATTTCCTGGGCGTGGGTAAGATGCTTGTGCTTTGTAAGATCTTTAATTAAAGCTTGGTTCAAGGTAGCGTGCTCATGTGACCATACTCTTCTTAAAAAGAACATAACATTACTCCTTTTATCCCCGAAGGGGTAGGCAGAGGTGCACATTACGGCACTTAATGCCACTGTTCAATGTAACACCCACTTTTCACTATTCATGTTATATAATAGAGGGAGAGCCTACTGAGAGATTTGTTTTAAAGACCCAATTATACTTTGTCCGGTTATCGGCCAACGAGGCAGTCTTAAGAAAAAACAGAAACATAATAATATGTTTTAAAATACTACCACAAGGATTTCCGTCTTATATACTGCGTAGGAAAGTCTTATTTTCAATTAAATGACTACAGTTTTAAAAGAAGACATTCTTATTTTTTTGTAAATACAAGAATATGTAGGTACAAAAATATTTAGCTAAATGTAACTTCCTTACTAATTATTTTTAAAACATCATTAAATCGACTTGTTTACCTAGAGGAAAAACAATATTTTTACTTAAAAATAATAAATAATTTGAGATCTAGCAAATGCAAAATAGTACCTTGAGACACTAATGAATAGGAATGTTTTTTGTTTCTAGGTCTTTGTCATAAACAACAATTGTACAAAAATTTCCGTCTTTTAATATTCAAACGTAATCAGATAAATTCTAAGTATCTTTGTAAGATGTCAAAACACGTGAGCATGTGACTTTGGACTTTAATGCATTAGGATTAAGAACATTTTAGCTAATACCGCTGGCTAAATATTTTCCTAGTAAATAGCTATTTTGCTGAAAAACCTTAATTAGTAAAAATATGTTTTTAAATTATCTCCTTACATGTCTTTCTGTTCGTGTTGCTATAATGGTACTTGAATTAATTTGGTCCTTTCATTCGCAATGGTAAAACTGAGGTCCTTTTTCTATCACTATCGAGTAGGTACCGGTAGCACAAAAAATAAAGTTACCTAAGGCCCCATTTACACGAGAGTTATTTACGTTAAAAACATATAAAAACAATCGTTCCTAAAGAACAAAATAATGCATCGGTTAGTATAGTGTGCATACGCTGAGCTTTGGGAGCTAAAGACTAAATTGCATTACATAGGTAAACACCAACGCCGAATTTCAACTCAATATTGTTAAAAAAACTTACGTGCGATTGAGCCCCAATAATAATTAAACGGGTGCCCACTCTGTGATGAAAAAGGTCCTAAGCTACGTTCAACTATGATTTTATTTTATAGATTGCTTTTGCACATAAATCGAATGACTCACTGTTATTGCATAGCGCAAACTTTAAGTGAATAATCCACGCAATCATTAATCAAGTCAGTTAGCGCTTTTCTTAGTAAAACTGTTTCAACATTTAATTACGAAAAAAAAAAAATCCCCAAGATAATCTTGCGAGGTTAGTTTAGAAGGGAAAATGTATTTTTTTCAGCTATTGCCTTATGGCACATATTTTTATATCTATTTAAGTTATCTATGACTGCTGTAAGAGGATGTTGTTGATTTTATTTTGAACTAAAATCATAGATTGTCCATTAAGTAGGTAACTTTTGCATTAGTAGTCTTAGATAAACCTTAGTTATAGAAAAAATCTAGCGAGCTGTTAATTAACCTGTCAAAAAAACCCATACAAAACAAATGTATGACGGTTTTGTTTTTTAATGACTGTTTTGCCTAGAAGTGGTATTTCCAAAATTCGTAGTTTTAATGGTACAATAAAAACTGAGAGCTCGTTAGTTTTGTACGATAGATAACCTTAGCGCAGTCATTATTATTGTTGTTGAATTTTAACTATTGTAATTTGAGTTAATGTTTGTTTTTAACACGACAGTCGTCGGGCAGGGGCGGGTGGCTACCACTCACAGCGCTCCTGTAGAGAGGGGGGCGTGCGACCGCAGTCTAACTACTACGAGTACGAGACGGCGCCGCCGCGAAGACCAGGCAAGCTTTCCCACTACCACTGAGCAATGGACATCGAACAAGAAAATAATACCCCTTCGACGCCAAACACCGACGGCCGAAGTATCCGATCTCATTTTAATTGGCGATACTTTTAACGATTATATCGCTTCAGTAGACGTTAATAATGCTATCTGTCGGCTCGATTCCTTATTGATTTAACTTCGAGTGCCTTCACTGAGACCGAGCCACGGTAATTAATTGTTATTCTACACAATTTGCTGTATCGATTACTGGAGCAAGAATACGATGGTAATTGTCGTTAAATGTAAAATAATTGTCTCAAGATGTGAATTATTTACGCCGTCGAAGTCGTTAAAAGTGAATTTGTTTTCAATATGGCTACTTAAACCGTTATTTAGTGCTCTTGGCGTAATAAAATGCCTGGGGCTTGTGTAATTTTGTACTGAATGTTATTTTTTCTATCTACCAGTGATACGTATGTCTAGCGTATATAAATATACAAGATTTCCAAGTAAAATAAAACTATGTAAAAAAATAAAATAAGGTTATGTGCGCAATAAGCTTGTACTTAAAACTAAAGAAAACCCCTTTTTCTGTAACTGTTAAACGAAGCAAGTATTTTACACTACAGTAATTACCTAACACAAACAAACACTTTTTTATTACAAATGAAATACATAAAAGACATTTTTCTATAATTAAATCTGTCTTTTGTGTTGATAAACCTTCCTCAATTTTTTATTTTCATATAATTTGGAAACTCAAACAACAAAATAAACTTCTTTTGTTTAAAAGACAACAAAAATTGTTTGTGAACACATTCATTAAAAACTGTTTTATAGAACTTATTTAAAAAAATATATAGGTATCATTAAAATATAGTTAATGAGCTATTATTTCTTAGAGAGAAGATAACACAATAGTTTTACAATAAAAACCTCATAATTTAACACAAAACAATGTCAAGAAACTAATAATTGTTTACAGTAGAATCAGTTTCCTATGTTATATCTCTATAATGCAGTGTAATACTATAAAATCATTTTTAACATAGTACCCACCATTCACTAAAACCATTTTTAACATTGACTAGTTATTGTTAAAAAAAAATTACGTGCTTACTTTGTTAAAAATGACATATTTTACTTCAGTTATGTAATTTGACATTAACAGCTTATTTATGCGTCCTAATATTCGGAACCTGTTTAATATATGAAGGTTTCATTACAATGAAAACTTACGAATGTTAAATTTTTTTTTACGTTAAAACACAATGTTAAGTTCAATTTTAAGTTGATACTAAGCATCATGTCCTTCCCTTTCTTCACTTCAAAACAAGTATTGGATTGTTACGAATACTTTAAAAGATCATCTCTACCGTAAGAGTCGTTTCAAGCATTTAGACACAAGGACCTAAAGAAATTTCGAACATTCATCATTGTACTGGACCCTTCAAATATCGCTGTTTAAAAATGTCGACTGTAAAATCGGCGTTACACCTGGCCCTTTCCTCGAACATTCGACACTACAATATTATAAAGGATACGAATATCCTCATTTATAAATATTTTACCCTCTATCCTAAAACTGGTCATTTAACGCGGGGTCCCTTGGTTATCCTACCTCCAAAACTAAGTTCAAGCATGGAGTAGCAAGTTGTTCACTTGTTCTGAAGTACTCTTAATCCCAGTTCTCAAGTTCTGATTGTTCTCACTCGCCTGTGACTGAGATAATCCCTTGTTTGTTATCTTATCTAATGCCTTTGAACATTAGTTAATTTACGAAACTTGATCCTGAAATATTATTGTTGGAATATTTTTACGTCACACGTTTTATTCAAACTATTTTCAAGAACTGGGGGCTTAGTACGGTTCACGTTTAACATGAGCGAAACGTTGATGACGTACACCGCTCTGATTGGCTAGCTCTAATGAACCAACCAATCAGAAGGCTTTAAGCGGTAACGTTTCGATCTTTTTAAATGTATCAAGCGCGTTTGGCGCTTTGATTGGCCGGCTCCAGTAAACCAACCAATCAGAACGCCGAACTCGCTCTATACTGTTACGATACGAATGCGATAATTATTCGTGCTTGGCACTCTAGTACTAAACCCTCTGCTGTCATATCTCCGTAGTCGAAATTAATGCAATAAGTATAATTATTTCAACAATATTTGTCCTAAGTTAACTTCTTGAATGTACGAGGAATGCATTGTGTAATGGCCGTCCTTTAATACTACATAAAGGATCCTTATTTATGTCTATGTGGAGGAGCCTTATTTAACCCTTTAACCGCCAAGATTCTGAACTTTCAACTTACCTCCAGCGCCACGTCACTTTAGGTATAAGTTGGAACAGTGTTGGAAACACTTAATATCGATGCATATATTCTTTAATCATTAAAAAATTAAAATCAATGTTTTATTTACCTACTTAATAAATAATCTAAAAATTTTCAATCTTCAAACGAAGTATACGAAAATGTGTATTCGGGAAATGGACACGGCGTCGTCCGTTCTCCTGCTGGCGACGGTGACGATGCTCCACGAGCATGTCGTATTAAATTTAATATTTTCATGTAAACTTCTGAGCGGATTTCCGACAGTACGGTTTCCAGCTCAAAAGGTTTTAAAGATGCAAAGTATTCAGTTTCGTGGATCACTTGGTCTCTGATCAAAAACTTTGCGTCACCATCTTCTAACTTTGCATAATGGACACATTTGGTTTTGACTGTGTTGATTTATTTGAGAAATAACAAAAACCCAAAAAAGGGTTTACAACACTAGTTGCATTGAGTGATAAATGTTTAACGTGATTTTACGGTGACGGCGCTAAGGCAACTCACAATACAGCGCTTTAATCTCCTTGGCCGCACGTAATATTACGGTGATGGCGACCGGCGATTGTCCGCACTAGTGCGGTTCTGCGTTATGAAATTTTTATATTATTGTTATAAATATTAAATAATTTTAAACTTAAATACATTTTAATTAGTACAAATACTTGCATCAAAGTAACACTATGGTTATTTTCTAATGAAAGTATACACTTTCATTGCAAATAGTGACAGTAATATCTATAGTGCCTTGTTTGTTCTTAGACAACCTATTAAGTATTTTTCGAATTCGCCCCATCCCTAGTACTCGTAAAATTACGTGATTGGCGATACGGATAATGGAGACGGTGACCACAATTTAATTAAACCTCAAATTTCACAGTATTTATCACTTAAAACATTGAGAAATATCCATAACAATAAAGATTATACCCTACATCTTGAAATTGACACATTTTATATGGAGTTTGTGCACTATAAGAAGATTTTTAATAAAATAACGTGATTGTACGTATGTGGCGATTCGGACACAGCTTTCGAAAACCGTAATATTACGTTGTCGGCGGTTAAAGGGTTATATACTTTGTCTATGTATATAGATGGTGGTGCCATCATTTCTTAGTTATAATCTCGTCTGATATCGCGCTATAAGTACTTATTTGTGCTATCGTAAATTAGATAGATTTCTACACCGTATATGAAATGATTCGAGTGTATTATAAATGAAATTACATAAATATTATATTAAAGATGTTATGTGATGGTTTGTCCGTATAGAGATACTTTGATAAAATTTGCTAAAAATCCAAAACAGCGGCACCAAACAATACAATGGCTGCTTCATTATTTAATTATGTCTACTATCAATTTCGAGGTACTTCTATACGAACAGACTGCGTGATAATTTAAACAGGGGAGACTTGTGAAATTCCCAAATAAAATGTGTCCTTAAGTGCGCAGGAATTTGTATGTGTCGTATCTAAATCTCCCGACGTCTCGTCGTATTTACGAACGTTTGTTGCAAGCTACGTAGGTACATGTACATTCCTACTTAACTTCTAGTAAGATTATGAAAGAAGCTTTAAAGTGTAGATTAGATTTATAATTAAGTTAAATCTGATAACATTTACGTGTGACTGAATAATTTATATCACTTTTGAAGAATTATAACTATTCGTTAACTGTAATATTGTAAAGTTAAGCGACTACGTTTTCATCGTTTTCAATGCAACAATTTATTGTATTCTGACTGTATTAACTCTTATTTTATATTTGTCTTTAATATTTCCATGTTTTTGTGATATCTAATCGGTATTTAGTGCTAGCCTGGCTATGGGCTCTCGTGGTGATATGAACATGATCGCTAGTTACATAATTAAATTAGTAGACATTTGTACTGTATATATAAAATTTAGGTGTTCTACGAGATTAATTTTGTATAGAGAAGTAGTTTTTATATTTCATAAATCATGACTTATTTTAGTTTAACGAACAAGTTGTTTAGATTTAAGTCACATTGCAAATGTTTATTTGCACCGAAGTGCCCATATATGTACATACTTAGACGTTTATATTACAACGTCAATATAATAATTTATTCTTCTCTTTGATTCGAGTGTCAAAGAGAAGATTAAGTTATAATGAAATACTTAAATACAATTGGACATTCAATGTATGTAAAATAAATCAAAAGTGGAAATTTTATGGTTTTATTTTAATATATCCTTTTGACAAAAGCAAACATTCATTGCGGACATGATGAGTAGTCGAAAAAACTAGCATTTTCGAACAATGCTAAGATCTAATGCAAATATTAACATACCCCTTTTAACTTCGTACAACTTTATGCACTCAAGGCCCGGCGACCGCTGTACGATTTGAACTTACGACCTTTCTATTACCAGCCAATAACGCGGTCGTTTAACTGGTTATTGTCACTTGAACATAGGCTAACCAGTTGTTAGGAAATCGATATCTTAAGCACACACTAGACGCACGTCACAAGAGTAAATTTTCTATTTTTTTTTATAGCATAAGCCGGTTAATGAGCAGACGGATTACCTGATGGTAAGCAATCGGCGCCGCCCACGGACACTCGAAACACCAAGGCGTTACAGTTTGCCTTTTGGGAATTGGGAGTTTGAGGAGTGTATACCATCGTGTTATCTAAATTCATATTTCTATATCTATAAGCTTCACCAGCGAGTCTGTCAAGCGTGAAGGGTTTGTACGGTACAATTTTCATTCGCTCAATTTGTTTCCACACGCATTTGCAAGTGAAATCACTTGTCATGTCATATAATCCAAGATCATTACTTGGGAGTAGCGTGCAGCGTTTATCTCGAGCTCGTTAGGAAGGGCAAGGCCGTGGTTTGCGTGTCCGACACACTTTATAGGATTGTTTGTGTGGTCGCCCTTTGTCGTGGCCTTGTGGTATTCCTACCCCGTGCCCCATTGACCTCGGTAAAATGGTTTTCTGAACTATTTAACAACGTCATTCGCCTTCGCCTTTCGTTCCCAAGGGGTTAGACAAAGGTGCAGTAAATATAACACTCGCTTTTCTACTACGCGACGTGACGACCTATGCTATATAGGTGAAGAGATGAAGATATACACCGTTAAATTTTAGTCGTTTTAATCCCATGGACCTGTGGTTTAACTAACAGGATGCTCAAATGTCAGGAAATCAAATCCGCGATACTTTGCAGAAGATAAAAAAAAAATCCGTCTATGTACCGAACTCGCGACACGTTGCTCATACAGCTGCACAGACTCGGAATAAGAACTTCATATGTGGATAGACCCCGCGACATGTTGCACAGCAGCAGAAACTACGAATGACATCATCACTCAAAGGGATGACAAAGTATTACATCATCAATGACGTCATCATTTTAAATATAACTGGTGAGTTAACCCTATATTTTACATACAATTACATATTATAAGTGATACATTACTTA